AATTCTTACTCAAATTTGATTAATAAAGTATCTATCTGAAGGTGATTTTAAAAGTATGAATTTAGGTACTAATAGTACACATTTATGTTAAGGATTGAGTGAGATATTGTATTTTCTTTGTGTTTTTCAACTTTGTGACGAAAAATCACGTGATCTTGCCATTCTAAGGAATTATGCAAGCAGCAGTAAGGTGCGTTGATTGAGAAATCACGCACCAACTATGCAAAACTTAAGAGATGGTCCGCTAACGGCTTTACTCAACGCTTGCTTACCACCGTTTTCCAGTCATGCGCATGTCACATGGCACTAGACATCGTTGGCCCGTCTGAATGATCTGGCATCATGACATCTTTCAGAGACTACCTTCGTGACAATGCTAAATTCTACTGTCCACCCGTCGAATGTCATCAGACGGCATTCACTGCCATGACTGATGTTGAAGTTGAGCAAGTGTTGGCTCGCTGGGACTCGGACCATACGGTATTAGAAGCGCACCACGATGCACAGATGGTCGATGCTCTTATCAATGTTCTTAACGAGGAGCTTGGTGAGAGTCCTACACCAGGGACTGTCGACGGATGGTTCCAGCAAAAATATGAGCAAGACATACGGAGCACTCGTATCATTAGAGTGGAACCAGATGTAAGTATCGCCTCTTGTAGTGAGGCTGTTTTTCCACAGCTAATTATTTTCCAGGCCAAACAATTGTTTAATTTGAGGCATATGTATATTTTGAAAGAAATCATATTCTCTCTCGACAGCCCCGTTGAGGAGCATTGTGAAACCGCAGCTCCAGAAGTCAGATCTAAGGTGGACTTCGTGTTGACCACAACAGGCGGCAAGGAGGGTTTGGTTGAAATAAAGGCCCCAGTGTCTTCGACGAGGCTGCAAAAGAACTTTCTGAGCCGTCCAATGACGAAGATGACGACGAAGTCGGCTTCGAGGTACAATTGGATTTGGACGATCCCGAGACAGGAATGAAAGTCATTATGGAAGTCCGTGTGGCTGAATGACATTCAGGAACATTATTGATGAATCAAATTTCTCAGGTATGTGTGTACATGCTCTCGTACAAAGCAGAGTGGCTCGCGTTGACGTGCTTCACAAAATGGGTGTTCCTCCAACTCCACGTTCGTGGTAGATATGAAGCACCATACATCACATATTCGACTATCGAAATGCAATCGGACAATACTAGGCCGTTCCGTGCATTGGCTGTGATGATGTTGGCTATTGCAACGGATGTCGATGTCCCCTCCAACGCTGACATGGGTGGGCAGCTTCGGACAATTCCAGTCACTACAGGAGGGCTCTGATAAATTCGCGGCACCGGAGCATTCCGATCCGTCTTGCCAAAGTCGAACCCAAGCGATAGGAATGGAGCTGCCAGTCACTAGATCCAGTGCAAGTCACTGCTATTTATCGTCTTTGACTTTTAGTTCCCTTGCAAGAATTTCGAATTTCGAAATGCATTGCTTTCTTGATTGAACCAAATTTCAGGTCGTGTTGTCATCAAAAGCCATCTTAGGTAGACTGTGGCTTGGATTTCGCGCTGCAGACACCATCGCGTTTCCGGCTTTGGGCAAGGATACTATTCGGTTGCATACTATTCGGTTATGTGCCTAATGCAACTTTGGATATGGTTCAACTGGGATCGTTTACGGAGCGATCCCGAACATAGATGGAACGTTCAGGACGTCGGATGTACGCAACGGTCCGGGAGGGCGAAACACTCAAAGAGCAGAGTTGTGTTCAGCATTTTTCAACAAGCTAGATGTATAGCGCCGCATCGAATAGACGTCTCCAGCACCTGTAAAGTTTGTACCACAATGCTATGGTCTTTACGAGACAATCCTAACACGGGCGTTGGCTGTGGATTATGAAGGCAATGTGCTTACGTATGATGGAGAGTGGTCGAAGCTGTCACCTATTGACAGATGAGAATAGAATCATCTGCATTATGCGGCTTCAATTTATTGAACGACGTTAAACGCAAGATCTGTTCGATACAATATCGACGTTACATAGACTTGAAGTCAATCATGATGCATTTGAGTCTCGGTATGTTGTTCGAGGCGACGTTGGTTCACTAAAGACCGTTGGTTTCATGTCGAGCGAGTTACATAAGTGCCGTCACTATGACATCAGTCTCTTTGTACTATTTTATATATTGGCCATCACTCAGTACTGATCATGAACAGGGTTGCACAGAATTGTCTCGAGTCGGAAAGCTAGTTCAGAATGTACGAGGAAAGAGTTTAATTTCTAGATCATCCTTTTGCCCGTTTGTCATTACCATATCATAGTGTTATGTAACAAAACTAGTCACTAAAGTCAATTCATTCAATTCTCCTCGTTTCTTGAGAGCGTCAACCCAGTCGCAATACATAGTTGATTGCTCCAAGACAGTGGGTATGATTTGCCTGCACTGGAAGCCTGCCGATTGTTTCAAAGGAGACAGGAAAAAAATAAGACAGGCTTAGAGATGCAAATTGAAAAGGACAAGCAGCGGCTACAGAGATACTCGACTTTGACAGTCATGCAAGAGACACAGAAGCATTATAATCATGACTAGCTCAAATGCTTTGAGAGAACACCAGTGTGCTACTGTTGTGGAAGTACAAGTCCGAAAGGAGCATTGCTCGACCATACGAATATCTGTGCATCCGGGAATCATAACTCCACACAAGCGAACAGTACACCTGACCGAATCTAACGGGTGAGAGTAAACAAACTTACTCGTCTCGTAATGACTTGTAGATAATCTTATGCTCGGTACTCGCAGCAGATATTTCAGGGCCCGGGCAGCTGGAAAAGGTGAGCTTTCGTGCACCAATGCAGAAAATGTACCTGCTCCTATTACCGTTGAATCACATGTAGCATTGGACAGCAAATCTCGAACATAACATAAGAGATAGAACGCAGCAGTTAATGCAGCGTGTGCGAACAAAGTCATGTGCTCATCACATGACCGTGCCATCGTTCTAAGTTAGGGCTAAGCCACGGTGAGCCACCTACCTTACTACTTACCGTTCACTGCAAGCTCGTCTGAAGGCCTGACACCATGGCACTTCTAAGGAACTACTTACGTGACCAAGCTAAATTCTACTGTCCACCAGTCAATAGCCATCAGTCTGCATCCTCTAACGTGACTGATGCCGAAGTCGAAGAGGTGTCAAGAAACTGGGACCCGCAGCATACAATAATAGAGGCTCGTCACGATGCACATATGGTCGATGCACTTATTAACGTTCTCAATGAGGAGCTTGATGAAAAACCTATCCCTGATGTGGTCGATGGATTGTTCGAGCAACACTATCGCAGAGAGATGGCGGGAAATTATGTTATTAGAAGCGAACCAGACGTAAGCTCCATCCCTCGTTATGAAGCCATGTTCCTCATCTTATATTATTAGGCCAAGGCCGCTGTAGAGCGTGGACCTGTGATACCTCTCGGACTAATTATGTCATCCTGCGGGGATCCCATTGAGGTCGGCAGGGAAATTCAGGCTCCGAGTGTCGGATCCAAAGTAGACTTTCTCTTTACCACGACGGGGGAGAGGAAGGCTTTACTCGAAATGAAGTCTCCACGTGTCTTCGACATGGCTGCAGTAGTACTTTTTGGACTGCCCAAGAACGAAGATGACGGAAACGGTGAAGATGATGAAGACAATGGAGACGGTGAAGATGACGAAGATGACGAAGAGCGCGAAGATGGCGAAGATGACGGAGATGATGAAGGCAGCGAAGTTGGCTTCAAGATAAAGTTGGATTTGGAAGATCCCGAGACAGGAATGAAAGTCATTATGAAGGTCTGTGTGATTGAAGGACAATCGAGAAATTTATTGATGAATCAAATCTCCGCAGGCGTGTGTGTACATGATCCTGTACGGATCAGATTGGCTCGCGTTGTCGTGCTTCACAAAATGGGTGTTTCTCCGACTCCATGAACGTGATACTGTAGATGAAGCACCATACATCACTTATTCGACCATCGAAGAGCAATCAGACAATACCAGGCCGTTCCGTGCATTGGTTGGGATGATGCTTGCTGTCGCAAGGAATGTCGATGTCCCTTCCAACGCAGACCTGGAGGGGCGCCTTCGGCCAGTTCCAGTAACCGTGTTGCCTTCTGATGCACCTGCAGTGCGGGAGCAGCACGATCCGACTTATAAAGGTCGAGGCCATGTGACAAGGGCTGAGCCACCAGAAACTCGGTCTCGTAGTAGGGGTGGTAATTCATTAGCTTTGTCTCCTGGTTTCCTTGTGAGTATTTTAATTCTTTTCAATTTGTTATTCCATTGATTGCATTATATTCAGATCACGTGGTCACCAAAAATCATGTCGAATAGGAGGTGGCTCGAATTTTATGTTAAGGATACCAATGCATTCCCGGCTTTGAACGAGAGCGCTGTTCGGCTGTGTGTCCAGCGCAACATTGGATATGGTTCAACTGGGAATGTTTTTGAGGCGATTCCTGATGGCGACGAACACAACGGAGCTTTAGAACGTCAGAGATACGCAATAAAAACAGTCGGGAAAGGTGAGACGGACAGAGAGAGGGGCTGTGTTCGACGTCTGCTCAACGAACTCGCTATATATCGCCGCATTGGTCAGACGTCCCCAGCAGCTATGAAGATTGTGCCACAGTGTTATGGACTTTTTGAAACAACACGAACACTGGCATTGGTGATGGATTACGAAGGAGATGTTCTCAGTCGCGATGAGAATTGGCCAGAGCTGACACGCAATGAGAGGTGAGTGCAGTAGTCGTTAGCATGTGTGCGAAATTAACATTATTGAAAACTTGTAGGCATAAGCTGTACAATGCAATATTAGCACTCCATAGACTTGGGGTTTATCATGGCGATTTGGAACCCCGGAATATTGTCCATGGCAGCGACGGATCGTTCAAAATCATCGACTTCACATCAAGCACCATTCATCATTGTGACCAGCGTAACGTCAGTTTCTTTGTGATATTTCCTATAGCGTCCATTGCTCACTATTGGTAATGAGCAGGGTTGCGCAGAGTTGGTTCGAATAAGAAAGCAGCTCAGGCTGAATGATGAAAGAGTCCGACTTCCGGAAAGTCGTCTTACTCGTTCGTCCTCACCTTTCCATAATGTTATGTAATGAACCAGTCGATATATTCGATTCATTTTAATTTTCCCATTCGTCCTTTCCTGAGACGGTCAACGAGTGATCCCCGAAGGAAACGAGCATAAATGGAACGTTCAGGATGTTGGGGATGCGCAATAAAACGGTCGGGAAAGGCGAAACACTCGAAGAGCAGAGTTGCATTCAGCGTTTTCCAATAAGCTCAATTATGTCGTCGCATCGAATAGACATCTCCAGCACATGTGAAGATTGTACCACAATGCTATGATCTTTTTGAGACAATCCGAACATGGGCGTTGACTATGGATTATGAAGGCAATGTGCTTACGCGCAATGGAGAGTGGTCGAAGCTGTCACCTATTGACAGGTGAGAATAGAATCATCTGCACCATGCGGCTTCAATTTTACTGAACAACGTTAAACGCAGGAAGTGTTCAGTGCAATAACAACGCTGCACGGACTTTGAGTCTTGGAATGTTGTTCGAGGCGACACTGGTTCACTCAGGATCGTTGATTTCACGTCGAGCAAGTTGCATAGTAGCCGTCGCCATGCTGTTAGTCTCTTTGTGCTATTTTATATATTGACCATTACTCACTACTGGTAATGAACAGGGTTGCACAGAATTGTTTTTTGAGTCTCAGAAAGTCAGTCTAGAATGTACGAAGGAAGAGTTTAATTTTAGATAGCTCTCTTGCCTGTCTGTCATCACTATCCCATAGCATTATGTAACAAAACCAGTCACTACAGTCAATTTGTTTTATTTGCTTTTGTTTTTGTTATAATTCTCTGCTCTCTTACCTTCAGTTCTGAGGGTTCTGCACCCTTCTGTACTGGAACTTAGGACTTCTGTCCCTTAGGGGCACCATCTATAGACTATATGCATGCTGACTCTTGCTACTACCCTTCCTTACTTCATCATTCTATTCCTTTGACCACCCCTTCATTCTTTGTTCATTCTATAGTCTCTTACCCTTTGTCCATCCCTTCATTCTTTGTACCTTTATCTTTGACCTTCTTGTTCTTTCATTCTTTGTAGCTTATCATTCTTAGTAGCTTATACTCTCTGAGTACTCTTGTGTAGTTTAGTATATATAAGTGTACAAGATTAGACTGGTTCTGTAGTCTTGATCTTGTCTACTCTAGGTAGTCCTGTACTCTTAGGCTTACTCTATATACTCTACTCTTGTCTTACTCTCTCTCTCTACCTGTTCTACAAGTTCTGACT